TCGCCTTCAATGTGGGAGAACTCGCCATGCCAGATCAGTGAACTAAGCACTTAAAGAAGGCAAAGAACAAGTCACACGTCTTTTCAACATCCTACAAGGTTTAGGGTTTGGGGTATGGCATCCTAGACCCTAACCCTGCATCCTGGACCATAAGCCGTCGATGACAGCCCTGGTGCTCAATCCAGCTTTTCGAGCCTTCTTGCCGCACCCCCTTACGGGACACTTTTCAAGCTCTTGAGTGGTCGCCATAAGCCCTTTCCAACCCTAAACCCAGGGGTGGGCACTTTTGGCAGTTTGGTGTCTTGCTCCAGGAGGGGCGCTTAGATCGTGTACTAGACACGACTCCAGGTGAAAGTCTGGAGGGCTGATACAGCAGCGATTATTGTCAGCGCTTTGTCAAGCAATCCTAAACCCTGAACATCCCGAAATCCTGAACCCTAAACCTAGCTGTGTTCATGGCCTTCAGGGCTTTTTCCCAGTTTCCTGTCCGCTGGTTCCAGAGCTGTGATGTCCAGGAACACATCGGCGACGAGGCCGTCTTTTTGCTTATTGAGGGTTTAGGGTTGTGGGAAGCAGGCGATGCGCGATGGGGAATTAGGGTTTCGCGTGATTGGAGTCTTTGGTTGAGGGTTTGGGAAGTAGGGAGCCCCAGAAATTCAGCCCTTGAATAGGTGTTCCGCGGCTGAGTTGTCGATTCAATCAGTGGTGTAAACTCTGCGGGTTAAGACGGGATTTGTTGGTTTTGGGTTTTCGGACTTTTTAGGATACAGGATTGAGGGTTCTCTTCATGCTTCAAGCATCGGGGGCAAACTAATGTATGGCCCAGTATCCCTTTTGTTCCCTTCCGTTACGCCACCTCCACTTGCTACTAGTAGCGCATCCCAAACGACGGGAATATCCTCAGCACGCGCCACCCCTAGTTCTGCTCGAAACAGGAAGAAACCAAGAACACTGCAAGTAGAATAAGCAGAGGTAGCGCCAGACCAAAAACCAACGGAAGACACAGATGATACAACCCTGAACCCAAACCCTAAACACAAATCCTAGTTTAACGTAACAAAAGACTGCTAAAGGTAGGTTACAAGCAGGTCACGCTCGAGGATGGCATTGAGTGTGAATATTTCTACGACCAGTCCCAGTGTCACTTGGGTTGTCTATGGGGAATCAACATTTGTAACAGGGCTTGGGGGTACATCATACCGCAAGTATGATGATGTACTCGGGATTCTACAATAGTCTATGGGGGCGTTCAGGCTTTGTTCATTTCGGTTTGGAGTTTTTTTCGGGTTTAGAGCTTCAGGGGGTTTAGGTTGAGGGTTCGGGTTTTCAAGTGACAGATTCGCGTAGGGCTTGGTAGTCCCTCAACTCTCAGTCCTCAACTTACATAGTGATGGGATCTGTGAGCCGTTAGCCTGACTGATGGTTGGAAGCAGAGGCCTCGATGCCAGATCTTTCAAATGTACAACATGACATGAATGGGTTCATTGGTTTCGGGGTGGAGCGGTCGGTGTTGGGTCTCGGCTTCAATCGTTTGGACTTTTCAAGATCCAGATAGTTGTGGTCTCCTTTCAGCTGTCGCCTGTTATTCGTCTAGGAAATCCTGTTCTGTTTCGTGCCGAAGTGGTGCGGCCGCTTGAACGCCCTTGTCGAAGACACTCTGATGATGTCAAGCACAGTGGCTTTTCAGCATCCTGGCAGCATCCTGGCAAACCCAGAAATCTTCCCAGAGCAAAGCCGCAAAGGCGAAGTCGAAGGGAGCCTAGGGATCTCCAAAACGCCATCCTACTGGTAGCTCCTTGACCCTGTCACCGGAGCTGAGGTCACATCCCCGATCTGGGCACCCTGCTGCCCCGCCGCACTCGGGTTGTTTTGTGGGGGTTATGTTGGGATCCTAAACCCTAAACTTCCTAAACCCTAAGCCCTAAAGCCTAAACCCCAAAACCTGTCCCTTATACCTTCGGGATTTTTCAGACAGGGGCTTCGTTCGTTGTAGCTTCGGGTTCGGGATTTTCGGGGGCTTAGAAGCGGCGCGTTTGGTTGCAACGAGGCTACGACAGGCTTCGTAGGCCTGTGATGTAGGAGCCTTAGCAGTTTGTAATCCAATCACAACTATATGATGTCATATACTCCCCGAGCCCGAACCAACTTTGGCCTAATTCATCCCGATACTGCTATGCATGCTACTCTGATTCACTGCAGCATGCCGGTCTAATCGTTGGCTGGAAGTTCCGGATTCAGGGTTCAGGGTTTAGGTCTCAAAGCATGCACCAAGCCCGCAGAACGCCCGTCCAAGGACACCCGCGAATAAAGTGGTTGTGCCAGAGATCTTCATGGACCGGGAAGTTCCTGCAAAGCTGCTCCCGAAGAGCTAAGTATATAAACACTTACCTTGGAAAGTGCAGGAGAACGGCAAGTTCCCCGACGTCCGTCAAGGCAATTCCTTCTGCATCAGGCGGGGGACACATGTTGAGAGCGGGGGGCCTCTACCCCTCAACCCTAGCTAAACCTGAGTAGCCTGAAGCTTGAAGCGCTGCATGCTTTAAGCTTGACTTGCCTTCTTTGTGTGCTGATAGTGCAGTGCATGAATCCTGAAGCTTTTTCGGCCACCGCCACCCCTCCGCCGCAGACTTTTCTTGGACCCTCAACCCAAAACTACAAATCCCGAAGCTCGCTACGACCTCCTGGCATCCTCCACGAGGTGCAGTGGTCTCCTGGTCACGAAAAAGGAGGGCAACTACAAGTTCTTCCTGAGCTCGGACGACGGTACTTCCCTCAGCTTGAAGCGGTGGTCCTATAGGGTCAGTTTAGGACTTTAGGGCTTCATGGTGCAGGGCTTAAGGTTAGTTGGGGAATTGAAGTTTGAGCTTTGACGCCGCAAGGGGTATAGGGGAAGAAAGTGCGTGTTGTGAAAGGTGGAAGATACCTCACCACACTAGGTTGAGGTTTTATGGCTTTAAGGCTACTACAAACCCTGACCCACTGTCAAATTCCATGAAGCCTTTTAGCCCTTCAAGCTTCTGCCAGGCTCACTTATGTATTTGGACGGGCAGAAGCTCGTCGACAACAACGGCTGCCACGGGGAGCAGGAAAAGAGCAGTGGCGACACCTTCGTGGCGAAGGGAACTCACAGGGTGACGGTGGACATGTGCGAGATGGGTGGTGGCGAGGTCGGAGTTTTTTCCAAAGCTGACTGGAGTTTCATGTTCCCAGGCTGCTCCTTTTACACGGGACCTTCACAAATCCGCATGGAGCCCCCTGTAAGTACATCCAAAGCCCCCTGAAGTTTCGAAAGTCGCACCCTTGTTCAGCCATGAACCTTCCAACTTGAACCCGCCAGCCTTCGGATCCCAAGCCGGAACCCCTAAACTGGCCCTGAACCCCAAAAGGCCCTTAGACACCCCACACTCGAGAGTGGTGGAGAGCCCTTCACTCCAGTCCCAAAACCCTATACCTCCAGGTCCTGAAGCTGCGCTACAAAGGCCCGGACACCGGCAACTCGAAGGTCAAAGTCCCCAAGAGCGCTCTGAAGTATGGCAAGGAGCCGGACTTGGAGGCCACATTAGCCCCTGAGCCCTAAACGAATAAAAAAGGAACGGGAGCGCGAAATGCAACGTAATGACTAAACGCAAAGCACGATTGAGCTGTGTTTCAATGCAACATGTAAAACCAGGGAATGGAAAGAAACGACAAGAGCACAGATTTCAACAGTAACAACATCAATTTCTCCTGTCTTTTGCACCAGCTGGCGCTGAAGGCTCTCTGACATCCGCCATGAATCCAACCCTGAGCTTAACACCTTACACCCTCGTCAGGCTGATCTCGAGGGTGGCATGGAGTGCGACTACTTCTACGCCCCTGGGATCTTAAATGCATGGACAACGGCTTAGAGACTTTAAGCATGCTTCGAGCCTCCACTCAGTTTTTGCCATCTAAGGATGACAGATGTTGTTTTCTTCTCTCCAAACTTAAACCCACTAGATCACCAAACCGCAGTAAACCACTCCAAGATAAAAGCACAGAATGAAGTGTAAACGCCCAATGAGACTGTAAACACTTAGGCAACCCTGAAACTCTAATTAGCCATCAAAACCGTCACGAAATCTTAAACATCGTATTTAACCTCACAAGATCTAAACTAGACTGTAAAGTCTTATAACAAGATTCTGCACGATTTCGACAATTGCACCGTAGAAAGCAACGCATAGGCTCCAGAGCCCAGGATAAGGCACAATGCCAAGTGCCGGATCTGGCTTCTCTGACGCTGGGCAGCAACTGAGGAAATCTGGACGATTGAGAATAGTCGTATCCAAGTCAAGCCCCTTTTTGAATATACTGAGCAAGCTATACTCTGCCATACTGGACTATACTATACGATACTGTACTATCGTACTATATTATACCACACTGGAAAAACCTATGTACCATGTAGGAAAAACTTTATACGATATACAAAACACCATATGGTATACTATACGATAGTGTACTAGACTATACTATGCTGTACTATACTATACTGTTGTACTATACTGTTGTACTATACTGTACTATACTATACTCTACTGCATTATACTGCACTCTACTATACTATACTGTGCTATACTGCACTGTACTACCCGATTCTATCTCACAGGCCCCCTGCATTAAGTTTAGCTTTGAGGGGTGCTGCGATTCAGGTCCCTGTGATTAGGGGTTTAGGGACCCTCAAAAAGGGTATGTGGGGGTTCGAAAAATAAGGGGGTGCCTTCATTTCGGGGTCCCTTTAATGAGGATTCTACTATTTGGGTTACCAAATTAGGTAGGGTCGCCTATTTTCGGAGTTGACTCAAGGGTAGATGAAGGCTTTAGGGTTAAGGGTTCGCTAAGGTTCGGGCAGCTGTGGCTTTAGGGGTCAAGACCTCTTTTGGCGTTTTGGCCTGGGGCCCTGAGTTGGGCTATGCGGCTTTGTAACCCAATATCTTGCCAGGACCCCGGCTCACCGCGTGATTGTGCCAGAGATCTACATGGACCGGGATTGCAAAAAGTGATCTGGGTTGAGTTCAGGGCAGCTCTGCGCGGGTGTTGTTGACCAGTGCTCATGCAAGTTGCAATTTGCATCTCGATCAGACCAACGGGAAGTTCCCGGACGTGCGTCAGGGGGATCAGTTCTGCACGAGGCGGGCGGGGCATACGAGAAGTGAGAGTCTTTCGAGGTTTGTTAGTGCTTTGGCAGGTGCACTGGTCGTCTCGTGACGAAGAAGGAGGGCAACTACAAGTTCTTCCTCGCTTCAGACGATGGTGCCCCAGATGCAGAGAAGAGTGACAGCAAGGTGATGTCGGCGTGAGCCGGGCTGCAGAAGCGCTAGGTGGAGTGACTGTGTGTGCCACCGTAGCCGTAGCCTGCACTATGGGAGGTTCCCTCATGTACCTGAACGGGGAGAAAGTCGTGGACAACAACGGCTGCCACGGAGAACAGGAGAAGGGCAGTGGCGACAAGTTCCTGAAGCCGGGTGCCCACGAGATCGTGGTGGACATGTGCGAGAGGGGCGGCGGCGAGGTCTTGAAGATGCGCTGGAAAGGGCCAGACAGTGGCAACTCCAAGTCCAAGATCCCTGCTGCCGTGCTCAAGCACGAGAAGGCGTTCCGGGCTCTAGAGTTTCAAGCGGATAGCTAGCGAGCGCTCTTGCAGTGTTATGTGATGCTCTCTCTCGTCTTGGGTGTCGAGCACTAAGCAACTTCTTGTCATCTCTTTTGCCTTGCCCCCCTGGCCAGCCAAAGTTCAACCTTGCCGACGGCATGAAGTGTGAGTACTTCTACGATCAGTCGCAGTGCCAAGTACCGGATCTGGGTGCCCTGACACTCAGCTGCAAGATTGGGCCGTGCCTACCCGGCGAGTGGTGCATGCACACATACATGCACACATACATTTATACATGCATACGAAAATACACATATACATATATATATACACACACACACGTCCGCATACACATGCAGACACACACACACACACGCCCACAAACACATGCACATGTACACATACAGACACACACACATACACACACATACACGTACAGATACGCATGCATACATATTCAAAGATAGTCATGCATATCCATGAATATACATACGTACATCTACACACCTACATACATCTACATGCATACATATATATATATGTATACATACATACATACATACATACATACATACATACATACATACATACATGTATATATATATACACACATAAACATACATAAGCACACACACAAACATACATATGCAGACATGTACACATACGTACATATACACGTGTGTGGATATACATGCATATACATGCGTGTACATGCACATGCATACATATACACATACATATACACAGAAACACAAATGCAAACTACCTACCTGCCTACCTACCTACCTACCTACCTGCCTACCTACCTTCCTTCCTTCCTTCCTTCCTTCCTACCTACCTACCTACCTACCTACATACACACACACATACACACACAGGAACCCTGGGCTAGGATGTCTCTGCTTGTAACCTACAGCTGAGTTTCAAGTCATGAACATGTCATTTCAGGAAAGCAGCCCACAGCGTCATCGTGCCGGAGATCTACATGGACCGGGATTTCGACATTTGTCCAGGGTATGGGCGTGCATCGTTGCCTAAACCCTCACTGAACCCGAAGCCAAAGTAAATGGGGGGATGCTGTTGCTGTTTATAGTGCTCCTGCCTGTCGCGATTTGCATCCTCTGCCCTGGTGATCAGACCCACGGGAAGTTCCCGGATGTACGTCAAGGGGATCGCTTCTGCACCAGGCGGGCCTCGTCTTGGTAAATCCGGTCTACCGCGTTTAGAGTTTATTGGAGTTTAGGGTTAGTAGGCTTTAGGGTTTAGGAATCCCAATCCTTCGGAGTTCACTGATCTGGCAGGTGCACTGGTCGGCTGGTCACGAAGCAGGAGGGCAACTACAAGTTTTTCCTGGCATCAGACGACGGCATCCTGGATGAATGAAGAAACTGTGGGAACATTGCGCATGTCACAATTTGGGCCATGCATGCATGTGGTGCAGTGACACGTTCTGTGCTTCCCCCAGCCTGCAATGTTTGTGAGGTTCCCTCATGTACCTGAATGGGGAGAAGGTCGTGGACAACAATGGCTGCCACGGAGAAACCGAGAAGGGTAGCGGTGACAAGTTCCTGAAGCCGGGTGCCCACGAGATCGTGGTGGACATGTGCGAGATGGGTGGCGGCGAGGTCTTGAAGATGCGTTGGAAAGGACCGGACAGTGGCAACTCCAAGGTCAAGATCCCCACTGCCGTGCTCAAGCACGACAAGGCATCCATGTTTGGCTAGGGCCCGTCCGGTCGCAGTCAGCTTCCACATTGTGTGCCATGATCTGGGTGTGCTAGTTGTATGTCTGAAGTAATCTTCCAGTGTCCAGTCGCTGTTATTGAACCGATGCAATCCATCAGGATGTTCCAGTCGATCAGTACGGAACCATTGACGTCCAGGGGAAGACCTACAACAAGTTCTGGTGGTTTACGCGACTCGGGCCGCCCATAACATCAACGGAGTCGAACCCGCCGAAGGTCTTTAATGAGCAAATATATGCATAGGTCGACAGACAATAGGCAGATAGATAGACATATAGGAGTACGGCTTCGTTGATGGATTTGGGAGTCTTTGCCCCCTCAGCCCTTTCTTCCCCTTGTCCTTCCGAGCTCAGAGCTAAGGAAGGGCTCCTCTTGGCCTGCAGGAAACTTGGCGTCAATTGAAGCACCCTCTGTGTTCTTAAGGTCTGCGGTTTACGGGAATATCATCACAGGCTGCGGGAATGGCCATGCTTTTTCGTTTGGGTCGGCCCTTCCAAGAGAATGGACAGTTCTTAGAATTACATGCACCCGGAACCCAAAATCCGGCCCGACCTGAATCGCAAGGGCGACAGTAGGGAGCTGTCCTTGGGCCTCAGCTGTGAGCTTAGCCTCGGGAAAGCCGAAAGCTCCACATCCTAAGGGCCACAAAAGAAACCCCTAAGCTCCAAACGCCAAGCCCTAAAGCCGCCAAACCCGAAAAAATCCAAAGCCTCAGCCCAAAAAACTCAAACCTTAAGCCCAGGAAAGGCCGATGTCTTGGGCGATTCCTTCGGGACCTGCGACGACGGGGATAAAGTATGCTTCCAGAGGTTGCCGAAGGTGGGGATTAGGGTTCAGGGTTTAGGGTTTTAGGGTTTGGAGTTTGGCGGGCTTCGGGTTAAGAGGTTTACGGGGCTTTAAGGTTTTGGGAGGTTATTGGGGGCTTTACTCCAATGCTCAGGGCGTTTAGGGTTTTAAGCTGGGGGCTCAGGGCAGGGCCACGCTTTCGATGTGAGAGTTCCAGTTGCAGAATGGTTTGAGATGCTTTTGTTTCTTGGGGTCCCTAAACCCTAAACCCTAAATCCCTAAACCCAAAGCCCCTAAACCCTAATCCCCTAAACCCCTAGACTTTAGACCCTAAATTCCAAAATGGATTCAGGTCTTTCTGGGTTTGGGGCTGTTGGGGAGTTGGAGCTTCTCGGGCCCCTCGAGCTACCCTAAACGCTGAAGTCCCGAACCCTGTAATCCCAAAATCCTTCAACCCTAAACTCCTTGTTTATATCTTAGGCTTTTTCATGTCACCTATCCGAGAAAGATGTTGAACACCCTATAGTGTATAATATATATTTGCTTTGCATATTTTTTGTTTCACAAATCACTTACCGGTTTCATGTTATACTTTGCATATTACCCTAAACCACAAATCCTAAACCCTGAACCCTAAACCCTGAACCCTAAACCCTAATATTACACGTACCCCCAACCTCTCTCTGAATGTTCTTGTCTTTGGCAGGTCGAGGAAAAGGACCTAGAGCTCCTCGCGGTCGCACCTCGGCCTCATCCCTTTTTCTTCGGCTCATTTTGGCTTGGGAGTTCAGGGTTCAAGGTACAGGGTTTAGGTTGTCAGGGGTGTGTGTGTGTGTGTGTCTGTTTGTTTGTTGGGGGTTTCGCGCGTTGTGTTTGTTGAGATCTTTTGAGGCTGTCGGCTGTGAGAGTTCCGCATGCCGCGACCCGCTTAAAGGTGGTTTGAAATCCATGTTTTGCTGGGATTGGATTTTGAGCTGAGAGCTTTCTTTTTCGCGGTTTTATGTCGTTACCGCTTCCTGCCCCCGGTATTCTAGTGTGTCGGCTATGAACTATTGCGGGCTTGTAAAACCCTTCAAAAATAAACATTACATCCCGTACCAACCCCTTCAGTTCGCAGGCTTTAGGCTCTCGGCTGAGAGGGTATGGTTCAGCATCAGCATCCAATGAGTAAATCTCCCTTTTCTGGACTGGAAGGGCCTTACTATTGGGATTCTGAGTGATCCTACTTAATGGTGCGAACAGGGGTTTATTAACCAGGGCATTACATAATGGTTAGCGGCTCTGTTTTTGGTGCCCAGGGTTGACGTGGTTGTATCTGTAGCCCTCGGTGAGACAGATTGCTTGAATGTTCTGACTCCCTTGTGACCCTTGGTTTCCTCTCTGTCGCGGCCTTTGACTTGTAGGACTTGGCACATTGAGCCTATTTTCTCAACTAGCCAATGTTCCAGCTGTTTTGTATTCACCGTACACATTGCTCCTGCCAATATCCGCTTCAGTCGCTGTTGTTCAAATACCAGTCCTGAGACGTCTTGAGGCAGATTTCATGGCTTCCTCATGTCAGACCCCATTGTCATCTCCACACTTTACATGACTAGGGCAGTTGTGAAGTCGAGATAGAAGAAAGGTCAGTATAATTGCATCAACTTCCAGATTCCACCCCCGAAGTAAGGTGCTGATCACCCTACTTACTACATCCCGCAAGATTGAGCCTTGTTCATGCTTTCTGGATGCCCTTGCTTCCAACCGCAAGCGTAAGGCCCCAAGCCCAGTCCTGATGCAGACCACTGGCTGGCAAAATGCCTCTTTCTTTAAGGGCTGTAAGATTACGACGCCTAGTAACTCATCTGATTAAGGAGGGGTTAATCAAGGTTTTTCACTCATCCTTTTAGATCAGCCTCAAGCGTAGTGCTTGAATGAAGAGCGGCAGCCTTGGTGCTACCAGTAGATAGCAAGCAGGATACACCAAGTCTGATAGCAACAAAAAGACAAGATAATCGACCCGCAAGTTTTTGCTTAGTTGCCTGACGTATACCCTACGAGGTCTGAACCCCAAGCCCCTAAACAAGCAATATAAATAAAGAATAAACTCTGAATCCTAACCCCCAGGCCCTAAGCTCGGCATCCTCACCATTCGCCCAAGGATGATGTGGGTAATCAGTTCCGGTGGAAGTTTGATGCCTCGAACAGCGTGGCCCATGCGGCTTTTGAGGCATTCAGGTGGCCTGGCTTGATAAGGAGCGACAACACTTAGGTCATTGGGGAATATGCTGGTTTAGTGATATAGGAACTTTAACGGCATGTCGTGAATTTCGAAGTATCCCACAGCTGTGTTGGGGGTCGATCACGTGCAGCCGCCAGTGCCAGTGACCGCCGGCGTTTTCTTGGTGTGCGGAGTGCGAGCACAGGCCGAGACAAATCGACGCGTTGAAAGGACTACACTGCACTTCAACTTAGCACAACAACTTCCCTTAGTGCAATGTTCCCTTATGAAAGAGAAGTCATAACCCCATGGCACCCCTATAGAACTCTTTAAAAGGTTTTCCGAACCCGTACAGAGCTTTCATTAGCCAGTATTTCTTAACTATAAGGAATATACCGGAGCCCTAAAACCAAACCCCCTAAACCCTAAGCCCCTTAATGTTCGAGTTGAAAACAGTCCTAATTGATCCCCGTTCATTGAGCCCTACCCTAAACCCTAAACCCTTATCCCTTAGTATGGTGATTTCTGGGAAGTCGCTTCCTGCCTAGGCATGGGAAGACCACTCAGAAGACGCAAGGGCCGGCCTGGGCGCCCGAGGTTCTCAAGGCCCGATAGCTGTTTCTTTTATTCTTTCTGTAAGATGTTAGATACTCTTACTTTTCGGTTTACGCGGGGGTTTATGGTCTTTCTATTTTTTTCTGGTTTAGACGAGTCTTCATGTATGATTACCCTTGCCCTGCTACCACAGCTGTGGTTCTATGATTGCTATGCCTCGGGTTCAGGGGTCTATCTTACTCCTGTACTTGTGGGGCTTTGGGTTTACTGGATTTTTGGATGTGGATGCTTGCGCGGTCTTGTGAGTGTTTGTAGGGGGGTCTTGGTTAAGAGTTTCTGCCATGTTCAAGTCCTATGTTTCGCTACATCTGTGCCCGGAAGCACAAGCTCTAGAGCCATGAAGCTTCTCTCGCCCTCGCGTAACACTCAGCACTTGTTAGTTGTTGTTCTTCGTATCGAAACACCCTTCCTTTGGGTCTGGGTTTGCTGGCGGAGCCTGGACACTGCATAGTCGGTCCTTAGGAGATGTTACCGTGCATCTGCCGACGAAGCCATGCTGCGGTGTGGACGGGGCTTTTTCATTAGGCCGCCATTCTTGCTATTGCTGCTTGTCTATATTGTCCTTGTTGTTCTACTCACTAAATACAGCTGAAGCACTCAAGAGTCTTGGTACTACCGGCCCAACCATGCCAAACCCAAACACGAGAACCCGAAATGCGACAGCAATCGTCGTGGACAGGGCTCTGTCACCAGTGGGGCACAGGACACGCTCATGCACCGTGGCGGTCTTTGGCAGAGTTTAGGGCGAGGGCTGGTTCAGGGCTCCTCTACAGGGTTTAGGTCTGCAGTGGCTTTGGCCTGTTGGCTAATTCCGTGGTTAAAGCTTAGAGTCCGACGGGCTGGTCAGCAGGCGACCGGAGACATAGTTAGCTCAGCATGAGGGTGTCGAATTCTCAGAGACTCCAAAATCTCTGTTCAATCGGGGATCCCTTCTTCTGCCACAGTCATTCCTATTTCCATCTTCTGCGAGAGTTTTTTTAAGTGGAATTTCCTGAATTCAGGCGTTTTTTTTGTGGATTGCGGCTCTCATGCCTTTGCTTCAGTGCTTCTGCATCCTAGGAGCAGCAGGCTCTTCCAGCTATTCAGGTACAGTGTAATACAAGTATGATATAATTTTAGTATAGTCTGGTCTCGTCTAGTCCAGTCTAGCTTAGTCATTATGCCATGGCATGGCATGGCATAGCATGGTCTGGTACAGTACAGTATAGTATAGTATAGTACAGAATAGTAACTATAGTTTCGCTTAGTATTGTACAATATGCTATGTTAAGGATATGACATCCTACAAGAGAGGGGATTTGGGCGCAAGCAAGAAGCCATAGCCCGTTCTCCTGCTCAGAGCCTTGCTAAACTGGAGCTGCAGTTCTTTACGTGCGGACTTCAACACGAAGATGCATTTCCCGCAGCAGCAAGACCCCGGCTGCAAGCCTCCAGTTCCGAAGCTGCGCTGGGCAGGTACAGGGACCAGGATGGAGTTCGCTCCTTCATGTTGGACGACGATGCCTGCGAAGCTTGTCACTCGAAGGTTTCAGCCGGTACGGCTCAAGGGTTTGCTCTTGACTTTTTGTGCTAGGGGCTTTTTGTTGGTGGACTTTCTGTACTTACTGTAGTGATGGGTGGATATGCGGTGCCCAAGACCGAATAGGCGTCTCGCACACACTTGGCGTCAATCGGGCTGCACACTTTGAAGATGAGGGATCCTAGTTGTACTGGGTAAGCCGAGCCGCCGTGACTCAGTAATTCTCGGCAATGTGGATATTGTGGTCACTGTTTGGCACCTGTTTACAAGTTAGCTTTTGTACTGCAACCCCTAAACGGCCCAAGCCCTAAACTGCGCTGTGAGGGACCGAGGTCAACACCGAACTTAACGGGTCTCAGCCCTGGGTCGCAACATTCAAAACCTCAACCCTGGGCCTTTGCACCGACGTAGCCCGAAACCGTGGTCTCCAAGGACAGCCGAACCCCTTACAGAAGACAGAAAGCAAAGGCGGCAACATCCCACGTTGCTTTTTCCGTGGGTCCTCCAGAGACTCGGAGGCCGAACAGGCTCCGAAGGTAGAGAATCGGAGCCCCCTGAATGGAGTCAAGGAGGCCAAAGGTCAAAAATCCTACTTCTTCAATCCTCAAACCGAGCCAAGATCCTAAAGCATTCCAAGGATTGCCACTCCACGCTATCCATGGGCCATGCCATGTGCGGAAGCGGATGCAACCAGCACTATGGAGCTTTGGCAGTTTGGGGTCCTCAGGAACCAGGTTGTAAAGGAGCTTGGGCTTCGGTTGTTTTTGTTGGCATTTGGCTTGTGAAGGGCAGGGTCCGGGCGCTTTTGTTGTATGCATTGTCGACGTGTGCCAGCGCCGCCGAAGACTCTGGATTGGAGATTTTCGGGGATGTTGCCAGAGTACTCGTCGCTAGCGCTTTGGAGTTGTTTCCGAGTAGGTGTCTAGAGAAGGGGCTCCGTCTCGTGCCAGACATCAAACCACAAAACGTTCCTTCAGGGAGATGACCCTGCTTAGCGTCGGAAATCTCAGGAAACTGCCAGATCAAGGGTGGCGTGGACAAGCTTTCCGAAGCTCGGACGGATTGACACAGGGTTTTGGAGTCGAATTGCCAGGGTTGCCAGGTTTTATCGTGTAGGTCACAGGGCTGGGGGGTTTAGTGACAGGTTTAGCGTTCAGTGACACTTTGTAGGGTCCCAGACTTTCAACCCCACGCAAATCCCTAGCAGACATGGCTGTTCTACTTGCCTCTAGCGACTCTCGGCTGTGGTCGTGCAAGCAAGACTCCCTAGAACAACTTCACCTAGTCATGTAGAGGCCCGGAGAGCACCCGCAGCATATTCTACTGCTGCTGCTGCTGCTGCTGCTGCTGCTGCTCCTGTACTACTACTACTACTACTACTACTACTCCTGCTACTACTACTACTACTACTACTACTGCTCCTTTGCTATAGCCTCCACTGCTCTCCTATCCTCCTGCTTCCAGTTTGTTTTTTTCAATTTGCTACACTGGACCCTACCAGCTACACCGCTAACTGTTCAGCCGTAAGCCTAAGCCCAAACCACTAAACCACAAAAAGTTCCTTTCGCCAGGATCGGTCCGAGACGGGTGGAGAGGGGTCTGGCTCCAGCTGCACAGGATTCTGGCACTGAAGGGATGTTTTCAGACCTGTTCAACATGTTTTTTTTTGAAGGGTCTGTAGGGGTACTATCGGGGGTGTTACATGGTGTTCACGGGGTTGTATAAGCTCTTGCCGACTTGAATGCATGAGGCCGAATACGGGTTCTGTACGAGTTTTGCTACAAAGACACTACACGTACTCAACGGAAAGTGTGCTTGCAGCTATGCACCACCTAAGACGGGTTGCTGTCGCTTCTGTTTACATTCTCTGAGGGCCCATGCTGTTCCGACGTGTTTCGGTCCGAACTACCGTTCACAGACGATCACAGTCGCTTCTGTTTTGGTAAGCTTCGTCCATTAGTTGACGAGCTTTGCATGATCCTTTTTCATAACATTGGTGTTCGTTGCAAAAGTACCGGTCCACAATTTAGGGCCTCTCCGGGAGGGATGCCTCTGGGGCTCGAAGGCAGCGCTGAAGGGTGGGGCTTTCCAAAAAGGTCGAGGAATCCAACTTCATGCTTGGATACTGGCCTTCCGAGGTCAACCACAGGTTCAAGCGTGAAGAGTGATAATGCTTTGTAAATTAGTAGTAATGATACTAATAGCGATCATCATCATCATCATCGTGGTGATCGTCGTCGACATCATCATTAATCTTCATCTTCATATCTCCATCTTCATCTTCATGATCTTCATCTTCATCTGGATTATGTAGACGGCAAAAACAACAACTTGGATGAGCTTTAAGGGCCCTGTTAAACGCAAGCCTCTCCAATGCTCATGACGGCCTAGGACCTGCCACGGACCACGGCCTCACGCTCTACTTCCACGAAGGAGGAGCAGATGACGAGGAGAAGCAGGCCCGCCCGGGCCGTGTATCCTTTAGGGCCTTGGGGTCGGGTTTCGGATTTTGGGGCACAAAGATTTGGGCTTTTTGGTGCGTTTTTGGTCAAGTTGGTCGAGGTGTAGCATATGTCACAATGACGGAAGCTCGATGTGTTGGAGGGGTGGAGAGTAGATTGGCAAGAAGACACTCCCACAGCTGATGGGTTCTGCAAACGGCTGAATTTCAAGATGTTTGGCATGGGTTTTGAAGCATGCAGGATTCAGAGGTTTCGGTTCCGAGTAGAGGTTTCCTGACTCCGTGGTTCTTTTCTAACGGGCTGTGGCTGCGCTGAGCCGTAATCTGCCGAAAGCCCACAGCTCGAATTCCTGAAGCCCCACACGCCAAGCCCTTTTCCGTAAAGGCCGTAAGCCCCAAACTCCAAAGGGCTTATATAGGTCTTTCTAGCCTAGCTTAACTTCAACAGCTACGAAAGTCAAGCCACCCCGGCAGCCGTGCATGAAGGATAAAGGGGCTGTGGAGGTGGCGATACTTATACTTGCCTTGCTTCGTCGATCGTTGAAGAAAGTCTGTAAACCCTTCTCAAACCCTTACCCTGCCCTACATAGCCATCATACACTACTCGCCACGGAAAGAACCGTTTCCCCACCCTGCAAAACGTACAATGTATGCAGCAGCAGGACATGCACCAGGGTGTGTAGAGCACCTACCCCATGCCCTAAACCCGGCACACTACTTTACTAGAGACCATACATGCTATACTGTACTATCCCATACTTTATACTAAACCCTACACCCTAAAACCAGGTGGACATGAACGAGGGTCTCGAGTGCACCTACTACTACGACCAGTCCCAGTGCCGGGTTCCTGACTTGGAAGCTTTGCCTCTCGGTGAGAACTCTTGGCTGCCTTTTTTTTTGCTGGCCTTGGAGGTTTGGGGTTGAGGGCTTGGGGTTTAAGGTGTAGGATTCGGGGACCAGGATTGACTAGTATTTCCTTGGAGTGCATGCTTAAGCTCGCTATTCATATGCTGAATAAGAGATCCTGTCATTAGCCTGCAGGGTAGCCTCTGGGATGGCTAATTAGGGCTATGCACGTCATATCCAGTCCCTGCATGCCACGGGCAGCTTGAAAATTCGGCACCCCTTAACCTTGGTGACCTGATATGGTCTTGGCTGCTTGCATCTCGAACTGGGAGAGCTGTTATAGTAGCCTCCGACTTCCGACTCGCAAGGTTTCGGCTACGAAGTTTGAAAGCCTTCCTCGTCCCTGAGCCCGAAAAGCCCGAAGAGCCCGAAGATGTTGGGATTCTAGAGTCCTAGAGCTTAAGGCTTCCCCCCCCCCCCCGCCCAGCAACGCCTAAAATGCGGAAAGGACCCCATCGAACCGAGTGGTGCTTCCGGAGATCTTCATGGACCGGGCTGGGGGTGCTCTGGGTTTCACCAGCACTGTCATGGCACCGATTGCTCTGATTATCTCACCGTCTTATTGGGACAAGGGGTGCTGCCATTGAAGCGTCTTGCTTGCTTGATTCTTCGAGGGTACTTACTCTGATCATGGTGGTTCTGGGAATCGGATAAGCCTTGCTGTAAGGATTCATTCGGCTGACGATCTAAATCCTGCATTACCCATAATAAGGAATATACCATAGTTCCCAAAGTTCAGGGTCCTTGGAGTAATGCAGGATTTCTATCACCAACCGTAATTAGTGTCGTGGGCTCATGCTTTCAAGTCGCAATAAACCTTCAGCAAACCGAAGGCCCAAAACCCCGAAGCCTCGACTCGAAGCCTCTAAGCCGTACCCGAACCCCAGGGACGATATACCGGCCCTTTCCAGAAACTCAGGCTTAAGCGGAGGTTTCGGGGAGGTTTAACACTCGTCAGTAACTTACATGTCCCTATTTTAAATTGTTCTAACTAGCCAAAGGCCTGTAGCATGTTTTTGTCGGGACCTTGTGTAGGATCTAGGGTTGAGGGTGTGGGAAATTTAGGATTGAGGGTGCAGGCAGTTTAGTGTCGAGGGTGCTAGGCTTTCAGAGTTGTAGGGTGTTGGAGTTTTGGCCGTTTTTTGAGATGTAGGGTTTGCAGAGTACATCAACTGGCCGAAGCTTGAGGCGATGGCCGGCACAAGGCCCATGTAAGAGGCTTGTCACTTCTTGTATCCCACAAAACAGGGTCCAACAATTGCCTTGCGAGGAGAACGGGAAGTTCCCCGAAGTGCGCCAGGGCAACCATTTCTGCATCAGGCTCGCAGGGCGAATGAGACTCAGAGTCTGAGTCGCTGCCACAAACAACCGGGGGTTGATATGTTTTGGCTTCGAGTTTCAAGTGGCTTCGGCGGCTTCGGGTTTTGAAGTGGCCAGTAAGGCTAGTGAATTGCTGCTTGTTTTGACAAGCGTGACATAGATTGATCCTTTAGCGCTGCAGATGCTGACGACGTCACGTTCAGGTGCACCGGTCAGCTCGTCACGAAGAAGGAGGGGAACTACAAGTTCTTCCTCAGTTCGGACGACGGTGCGCGGGCTTCCGTAGGGGAGACGATGGTGTCTTTTTCAGTCACAGTCCAGTCAAGCTCAGATCCCTGCATTGGGAGGTTCAGTCATGTACCTGAATGACGAGAAGGTGGTCGACAACGACGACTGCCATGGAGAAAGGGAGAGGGGCAGCGACCAGAAGTACCTCAAGAAGGGAAAGCACAAATTGGCCGTGAACATGTGCGAAATGGGCGGTGGCGAGGTCTTGAAGATGCACTACAAAGGGCCGGACACGGGCAACTCCAAGGTCAAGATCCCCAAGTCTGCGTTGAGGCACGACAAGCCCAAGGCCCTCGTGCTTGCAATGTCAACATGACAATTAGCCTGATAATTAGAGTGATGGTGATCTTGATTGTGGTCGTGATGGTGAAGGGGTAAGGGTCATGGATGAGAGCGGATCCTTCGCAGCAGAGCGCATGAAGAGAGGGGTCACCGCCGAAGGATGTTGACCTCGAGGACGGTTTGGAGTGCGACTACTTCTACGATCAGTCGCAGTGCCAAGTGCCGGACTTGGGCACCTTGACCCTCGGCAAGCAACTTAATAAAGACAAAAAATGACAAGAACCATAAAGATAAGAAGAAGACACTACTCACAAGAGTATTCATCATACCAACCTGTGCGTGTTGGGCTTTGTGGGAAGGGCAGGGTCTGTAGCTATGAGCCTAACGGACCTCGTCAGCAGGAGCCCAGCCCATCGCGTGATTGTGCCAGAGATCTACATGGACCGGGATTACAAAAAAGTGATCCGGGTTGAGTTCAGGGCAGCTTTGTGTGAGTGTTGTCGTGCAAGCTGCATGTCTCGATCAGACCAATGGGAAGTTTCCGGACGTGCGTCAGGGGGATCAGTTCTGCACGAGGCACGGCTTGGACTCGGGGCGCTGGGGCATGCGAGAAGTGAGAATCTTTCGAAGTTCGTTAATGCTCTGGCAGGTGCACTGGTCGTCTCGTGACGAAGAAGGAGGGCGACTACAAGTTCTTCCTCGGCTCAGATGATGGCTCCCCAGATGCAGAGAAGAGTGAAAGCAAGGTGATGTCGGCACGAGCCGAGCTGCAGAAGCCTAGCTGGAGTGACTGTGTGTGCCACCGTAGCCGTAGCCTGCACTATGGGAGGTTCCCTCATGTACTTGAACGGAAAGAAAGTCGTGGACAACAACGGCTGCCACGGAGAACAGGAGAGGGGCAGCGACAAGGTGAATCTGAAGCCGGGTGCCCACGAGATCGTGGTGGACATGTGCGAGAGGGGCGGCGGCGAGGTCTTCAAGATGCGCTGGAAAGGGCCAGACAGTGGCAACTCCAAGGTCAAGATCCCGGCTACCGCGCTCAAGCACGTGAAGGCATGCCTGTGTTAGCACCAGTCAGCCGGCAAATCATGTGCACTTGCAGTGTCACCTGGCATTTTGGCAGTAGCCTTAAGATGGAGACTGAGCAAAGCCGCTTCAAGCCTTTGCTTTGTCCCTGTCCCTGCCAGCCCAAGCTCGATCTCGAAGACGGATTGAGATGCGACTACTTCTATGATAAGTCGCAGTGCCGAGTTCCGGACCTGGGTGCCCTGACACTCGGACGCATTAATTCATCATTATGATTTGTGTTTATTTCAACTCTTCTTGTTATTATTGTTATTCGTGTTATTATTACTTTTCAAGAAGTGCGCATGCTTTGCCTGGTGAGTCGCAGAGACACCCTTGGCTACGCAGCCTGAGCTTGACCACCCTGTGGACAGGAGCCCGGCTCATACCGTGATTGTGCCCGAGATCTACATGGACCGGGATTGCTAAACGGATCGTTATGCAATTCCGGGGGGTGTTTGACGTTTGAAGCCTTTGTATCCGATGCTCTTGCGATCAGACCAACGGGAAGTTCCCCGACGTCCGTCAGGGGGATCAGTTCTGCACGAGGTGCGCGTACGGGGTGAGGACTAGAGGACTAAAGGTATCTTGAGATGGGCCGGAATGTCGGATTTCTTGCTAGGTGTACCGGTCGGCTGGTCACGAAGGAGGGCAACTACAAGTTCTTCCTCGCCTCAGACGACGGTCCCCTGCATGCAAGATGTCGTCGTGGGTGCCGTGAGACGGTGTGTAAGTCGGGTCCAGCTTGCTTTCGAGGCTCTCTCATGTACCTGAATGGAGAGAAGATCGTCGACAACGATGACTGCCACGGAGAAAGGGAGAGAGGCAGTGGCGACAAGTTCCTGAAGCCAGGTGCCCACGAGATCGTGGTGGACATGTGCGAGAGGGGCGGCGGCGAGGTCTTCAAGATGCGCTGGAAAGGGCCGGACAGTGGCAACTCCAAGGTCAAGATCCCGGCTACCGCGCTCAAGCACGAGAAGGCACCCAGCAGAATCTTCTGTACCGCAGGTTTCAAGGCTTTCAAGTCCCTCCCCGGCAGAATCAAGTCCCACAAAGAAGACACGAGACTGTGCATACCACGTGGCTAGCAAGCTGCTGATGATCATCAACGTCCTAACTAAGCACCTACCTACAGCAAGAACCCTCGGGACCACTTGTTACTCCAGGTTCGGGCTTGCAGAATGAGGGTGGTGAAGAAGAACAGGATGGTCATGATAAGATGATAAGTGATGCTATGGGCGAGGAATCACGGTCCTGATCAGGATCACTGCCAGGGTGGTTGTGATGCAAGAGCACCGTCACCACCGCCGCCAGCAACGCCACCACCACCACCACTGCCCACCATTGCAATCATCATCATACTTATCATCGTCATCTTCATCGTCAACATCATCACCACCATCATCGCCATCATCATCAGCATCGTCATCTGCATCAGCATCGTCATCATCATCACTATCATCATCACCATCATCGCCATCATCATCGGCATCATCAGCATCAACATCAGCATCGTCATCATCATTAGCATCAGCATCGTCGTCATCCGCATCGTCCGTAAGTCGTAGGTTCTGCTGCTTTTTGATTTGCCTGGCCAGGCCGTGGTCAAGGCCGGGCCCGCTTTGCCCGCTCTGCTCACTCGAGAGCTGCTAGCGGAAGTGGCGTTTTCGACTATTCTGACGCTGTGAAGCGTGCGGAATGCGTCGGGAGAAGATAGGTGGTGACCTCCGGTCTCACATGGGGTTGTGGCGTATGATGTCGGGTTGGAGAGTCATGACAACCTGTTCGAGAGGCACGTGCAAGGCGCAGAGTAAGGAGATATGGGGCAAATGCCCCGGATGTGTTGAAGCCCCATAAATTTTGAAGCCGTGCAGCTGCTTGCGATGCAAACTGCCGAGACAACACGAGATTAAGACCGTAGCTGCCATTACTGATGCCGTGAGGGTGGCTTGGTGTGCGACTACTACTATGACCAGTCGCAGTGCCAAGTGCCGGACCTGGGAACCTTGACACTCGGCCGCACGGCTTTGACATCTCTTGGCAAAAGCCCCAGCCTCGCCACTCAAAGCACGCGTCGGAGAGTCCTCGTTGCAAGGACACCGGGCAATCGTGTGGTCGTGCCCGAGCTCCACATGGACCGGGATTGTGAAAAGGGGTCACGGGTAAAGGGTCCATGCATTGTCTTGATCCAGATCTTGCGCATATCTGGCGCTGCTCGTCCTGTGCCCTTGCGATCAGACGAACGGGAACTTCCCCGACGTAAAGCAGGGCAACCAATTCTGCGTGAGGTGCGGCTTGCTAAGTCACAGAGTCTCAGAGTCTTGGGCGGCAGCTGAGCCTTCTCCGAATCGCAGATGCCTTCGCAGGTGTACTGGTCAGCTCGTCACGAAGAAGGAGGGCAACTATAAGTTCTTCACAGTTTCAGACGATGGTGCCCTGCATGCGAGCACTTCGAAAAGGTGGTGACATAGGTGTAGCGAGCAGTGAGACGGTGTGTCTAAGGCTCTCTCATGTACTTGAACGGAGAGAAGATCGTCGACAACAATGGCTGCCACGGAAGCAGGGAGAGAGGCAGTGGCGACAAGTTCCTGAAGCCAGGTACCCATGACATCATGGTGGACATGTGCGAGAGGGGCGGTGGCGAAGTCTTCAAGATGCGCTGGAAAGGGCCGGACAGCGACAATTCAAAGGTGAAGATTCCTGCCCGTGCCCTTCAGCATGTGGAGGCAGCAGACGAGTCACAGGGGCTTATAGTGCTGCAACTCTAACGCCGTTTAGGCATGCTTAGGCCCCAGCCTTCTGCGCCGCGTAACCAACGATTCTCGTCCATTCATCGGAAGCCCTCGAGCTGCTACGTACAAGATAGCTTCTGTCGCATCTTTGCACCCCGAAAGGTGTCAGCTTGCCCAAAACCCCTCCCTAAATCCGAAACCCCAAGCCGAAGAAGTCTCAAAGCGCTTTGTGGACCCGGAACTTGTTTAAGGGCAGGGAGGAGCAGATTCGGAAGATGAAACCCTTGAAAGCCGAAGCGATTCGTATCTTTGTGCTCCGAGGCCCCAGTAGCTTGTGCAGCTTTCGGGTGAAGGGTTTAGGGTAGGGTTTGGGTTTAGGGCTTAGGGATTAGGGCCCAGAACCACAGCAGACGCGGAAATCTAAGCCCCAAAATTCCAAGGCTCCATAGCCCCGTGAGCCTGCCCACAAAAACCAAACCACCCAAAGCCTTGAAAACTGCAAAACTCCTATACCCTGAACCCAAACCCTAACTCCGCAACCTTTAGCCCCAAGCTGTCAACCGCCATCCCTGTCGACTCAAGCGGCCAGATCTCGCTGAAGCCTCCCTTGGTCCTCAGCCACAAAGCGGCCTTTGAGTGTGGAAAGTGCCAGCCACTCGGCACCGGACATGCTCCTCCTGGGTTTTTTTTGATTTCACCATTACATGAGCAGTTCTCTAAATTAGGGTTCCCTTTTCGGTCTCCAACATAGTACGGCACCCTTTTGCAAGGGACACCAAAAAAAGGGACCCTAATCTGGAGAATTGCCCATGTCCATCTTCTTCTGCTTCTTGTTTTTATTGCGGGGGAGGGGTGGATTCGGGTTTGCGCCAGTTCGTTTTCTAGCATTGAGGGATGCTCGCGGATTCAGGGTTAAGCCACAAACCCCCTGACACACCGAAGTCCCGAAGCCGCGAGACTCCAAACTTTCAAGCAAGCCAAAGTCCCTGCACCATAAACACTATTCCTGACCGTTCCCTTTAACACTTGAACAGTCTCAAGCCGTTCTGCTAGAGTGCTTTTGTTTCGCTCGCCTAACCGTATAGGCCCTAAGCTTTAAGACAAACCCTGAACCCTCAACTAACCCCAACAACCAACCCCACCTAAGCTAAGCCCAACAACCCAGAACCCAAAAACGATCGCCCGCCAGCCTGCCTGCCCCCAGGAAGCCCGAAAGCAGAGCCCGGACCCAGAAATCCTGAGCCCTCTACATCCGAACCCTAACTCCGGTTTTAGGGTTTAGGTGCTTAGGGTTTAGGGGTTTAGGGTTTAGGGGTTTAGGGATTTAGGGGTTCAGGGTTTAGGGGTTTAGGGTTTAGGGTTTAGGGCTTTGGGAAACAAACCTAAACCCTGAACCCTGTTTTGAAGGTTGTCGAGCGAGGGTTCGGGCGCTGCGCTGCCCACGGGAGGGCCTTTCACCTTTTTCGCTGAGGCGCTCTTTTGGAAAGTTGTCCAGGGATTGTGGTAGCAGCGTTTTATTGGGGCTTTGTAGTGTTGGATTTTGCAAGCATTCTACTGCTTGTATTTACTTTGTTTGTTGGGTTTATGTAAATATGTAGCTTGCATTGGGGTGTCATGTGGTTTGTGGCGTTTTGTGAGGGGTTTTGTTAGTTCTGTCCTGTCAGGTCTTTGTTCGGGTCTGCTACGGGGCCCTGAACTCCACAAACCCTGAACCCCTCAATCCCCTACACCCTAAACCCTAAACCCCTAAACCCTAAACCAAAATGGGAACCAGAGCCCCTAAACCCTGAACCAACCCCAAGCCACCAAAGGACCCCGGACGCTTTTGGCCAGGTCAACCCCAAGGGTCAGGCCGGAAAGCATCCCGGCATCCTCGGCTGGGGGAGCAGTGGGGCGCCTTGGCCTTCCTCGGTCCCAGATACCTGACGGGTTTAGGGTTTAGGGTTTTAGGGCAGCATAAGAGGAGATACCTTATTTAGGGTTTAGGGTTCTAGGGCTTTAGGGCAGCATAAGAGTAAGGCCTATCTGTTTTTTCAGGGATTCGATACCTGAAAATCATGAGAACAGGCTCTGAAATTGTTTGAAGTGTTGCGGGTCAGCGTCCTATAATCAGGGCCCGACAATAAATGGTCGTAGGGCTCAGGGTCCTATACGGGCTCTCCACGGATTTTCAAGTTTGCTGCTGTAGGGTTTTGACTTGAGGATAGGGGTGAGGATTCGGGATTTCGAGGACGCGTCAAAGTAGCTCCTTTCGGTTATTTTTTGGTTGAGGGGAGCAGGTGTAACGGCGCAGAGCTACTTGCTTGTAGGGTCCCAGCTCGATTTTTCAGCGTGTTATGTGTGTGTGTGTGTGTGGCCTGCATTGTGGGCTCACAGTAAGCATAGAGGGCATGTGGGATTGCTTGGAATTTGAGCGTAAGCGATCGGGCGGGAGAGTTTGCTGGGGTTTCCGGTGAACGATTTAGAGCTGCGGCCAAAGAGCATTTCACACCGAACGTACTAGTAACAGGATCCCCTGATCGTTCCCATATCACGATACAGAACTATCCCCCAAACCCTACTGTGCTCAGGACAACTTCGTCGCCCTGCGAATGTTCCCCGGCCACAACAACGGCGGTCTCCATCTGCAGCTTCATCTGATATTGGGAAGGTTTCTTTTTCCGTAGGAGCCAGGCCCGAGCCCCCAAAAACGAAGAATGAGAATGATTCAATGTCCTTTTTCAAACCCCACAAGCCCTCAGCCCTAAACCCTATAAACCCTGAGCCCTGTAAACTTTGAACCCAAGACAGAAAATGGCGAAGCAAAAAAGGTACTGGAAAGCGAATGGCCAGTTTAAGGAGGTCGCCGTGGAGTCTGCAGGTTTGCTGATGCTTGGCCCCTGCAAAAATGGGGTCCAGGGTTTGGGGTTTGTAGGGTTTAGGGTTTAGGTAGGATTTCTGGTTGCAGGCTGTAGGATTCGTCGATGTAATGTTCAGGGTTTGGGGCTTGGGAATTGAGATCATTTTGGGGACTTGGGGTTTGGGGGTATCAGGACTTTGAACTTTCGGACTTTGGGGACACACATACATGGGGTCAGGAATGCCTTCTGGGTTGTCGTAGTAGACCAGACGAGAGTTGCCATAGTCACGGCCCTATACACTCAGTCCCATGATCCTCCACGTGGGCCTCAACCGCCGAAATCTCAAAGCCCTGATAAGATCCTAACAGAACCCGTTGACCTGAAAGAACCTCTCACAGAGCCTCTCTGGGGTTTAGGGTTTAGGGGTCCGATTCTGCTGCGGAGCCAACATAACTTTACTAGGCGATAGGTTTGGGGTTCTCCAGTCGAAGACAACGATGTGCTGCGCAAGGAACGATGGTTGGAAGACCGTCGCAGCATCTTGGGACAAGAGCACCATCAAGCTGTATGCCAACGGACAGCTCTTGAAGTCCAGCGGTGGCTTGATGTGAAAGGGGTGCTTAGGTCTTATGGGTCTGGAGGTTCAGCAATCAGGGTTAGGGTTTATGGGGTTCAGGGTTTAGGGTTCAGGATTCAGGGTTTAGGGTTTAGGGTTTGATTAGGACTTGCCGCTTGAATTCCTGCGTGAGGTCCTCTTGAAGCCAACACTTCAAAAGCAATCGGAGCCCTTCTGCCAAACCCCTACAACCTAAAGCCTAAACCCAAACCCTAAACCCCACACCCTAAACCCCAAGCCCTAAACCCTAAACCCTGCAAGCCCTAAACCCTTACTTCCTGAGCCCACCTGGGCAAGGGCTACAGACGAAGGGCTACCTTCCTTTAAGATGTGGAGTGGTCCTCGTTCCACATCAAGACAAGACACTGATGTCGGGGTTTAGGGTGGTCTGCTGTAGGGACTGAGCTAATCAAAACGAGGGTCTTCGCTTTGCTGTTTTACAGTCGTGCGTGTGTTTGGGGGGCCCTCAGCTCCAGGCTCTTGCGTTCAGAGGTTTAGGGTACGAGGCGCAGGGCTTCCTTGGGTGGTGGCTGTTCGTCTTCTGCAGGCTATTCTGGTGCTTTCAACGCAGCAGACAAGAGCGGCTTCTGTGCATGCGTGGGCGAGCCCGGCCGTACCCATGAGGCCCTGGCAGGGGCAGGGTTACCAGGCGTGAGGTTTAGGCTTCAGGGTCAAGCTTCTTGCGTTGAGCCCGGAACTGAAACTCCTATAGACTCTACTAGACCTTAGGAACCTGAAGCCTCCCCGCAGTGCCCGATGTGATGGCCATATTCGGAAGCCAGGGTGATATGCTTCCCGCAGCAAGGCACCCGCATTAGACCTGGAGGATCCTTGCATGGACAGAAACGACGAGCCCCTGAAGGCACGAAGATGACATCCCTACTAAGCCCTTTGGGTCCCCACGGAGCCCCTCCTGTCTTGGGCCAGGCTCTTGGTGGCAAGATGCGGAATGTCCAGATCATGAACAAAGCTCTCAGTGATGCAGAAATTGCCAAGCTTCCCTTGGAGCCTCCGCTGCAGCTGGGGGCTGGCCCCCTCTCGCATTCACTTGCAATGTGGGGCCGGGCTCCCTCTTTCTTTACCGTGTGTAGGTGGGGCTCCTCAGAATTTCCATCCTGCTGGTTGCCATTCCTAAGCCCGAAACACCCTAAACCGGATATGTGAGCCAGACGTGGTGCATCGATTCGCCAAGGCGTGAGCGGAGTGTCACGAGATGACGGCTACTCAGAGATCCAGGGCTTACCTCGCTATTTCAGGAAGCAGTGCAAGAGATAAACCCTAACCCCTACAGCCTAAGCCCTGAACCTAACTTAGGGTGTAGGGCAGCGTAGGGTGCAGACTTTAGGAGTCTCATTTCCTTGCTGGAGACAGGCAGGAGTCCGTTTCACCCACAGCGCGCGAGCGCTGCACGAGGACGAAAAGCGAGGGCCTTTCTTGTTTCAATCCACCCCGCGCCGCGGCGGACGCAGTTGCAGACCAAAGGCCACCTGTGGGGTCAATGCCTGAAGCGGCGAGCACTTGAGAAACCAACCGCACCT